TCCAGAAGGCTTCTACTTTCATCCAGTTCTACTTTTGCTCACTGTTTCTGCTGCCTCAGAAATAAAAATATGAAAATTGCAATTGTAGCTGCCTGTTGGGCAACCGCGATGGCCTTGAGGACTCTGGCAAGAGGGTGTAGCCATTCTGCAGGCTGAGGCTAGCAAAGCCTCCACTGCCAGATAGGGCTCAGGGTCTCCTGAGCATACCACAGGATGACACGGTGCTTCTGCAGTGGGACAAGATCCCTGGCTGTGTGGAAGCAGAGCTTGCAGAGGGCATGTTTCCACCCTACAGCCCTCAGAAATGCAGGTACCAGTCTTCTGGCCCAGCTGCTACCTGCAAGCACTAATGCTGTACCTTGTGACAGGACTAACACCGAGAACATGCACCTGCAGAGAAGATCCAGAGGACTTTATACTCAAAGATCCACCGCTGTTTAATGTCAGGGCTTGTTCAAAAATACTGGCCTACACCATTTTCCTGTGGAAATCCTTCCATAAATTTCAAGGGAAAAGGCTCTATTTTGATTCCTATTTCCACTCTAGTGCCTTCAAGTGATTTAGAAAGACTATTCCGAGCAGGAGTACTTCATTTGAAGACTGTGCTTTAATAACTGTCTGGGCATGCTGCCTTCTTGACTGACATACACTGCCACCAGCAGTCCTTTCCAGGGAAGTAAATTATCAACTCTCCATTCATTTTCCCTTCCCCTTTCAGGACCCGCGGGATGCTCAGCCAGAGGGCTGCTGTTGCCACCACGTGCATCTCAGGCACTAGAGTTTGGTTTGGTTTGTTTTTAACACGAGTTAGCACTACACTGCTCCTCCCACCTTTTTGCTCCTTTCTTGTGCAGGAAACATTACCCTTGCACAACATGGCTGAGCTGTTTGGACTGGCAGCCCACTGCTTTCACACTCCATGATCGCATTCACAAGACCTGCAGGACCCACATAGCCCTCAGCCCTGCTTTACCCACACTCTACTTCAGATGGGGCATGGTTCTTGGCCCTAAAGCAATCGTGTTTCTTTTCAGTGAAGTGTATTAGTAACAAAAAGAAGGGATCTAACATGCAAACATACCTTTTCATCTTGGGTGTTTGGACAGCTCTAACTCCTCCTTACAGGCTTTGATCCTCGTCACCTTCGTTGACCTGTTAACTGAAGGAACGTGCATTTTTCATCAGTCAGTTAAGATCCATCAGACCATAAGCTATGCCACTACCTTGCTGAAGAGTCTCCATCCACACTGCTGTTCAGAACAGCGACAGATCAGTGCAACGTGGTAAAAACCCTAAGGGTTGTGCAGACAGCTTATTTTTCTTTTACCAGAACCCATGTTACATGGTAATGGAGAATACTAATTTGTTTCTTAGTGTAAAGAATGGACTATTTTCTCAAGATTTGAAAAACAAAGGTCACTAACCATTAACTGGGTTACCGAGATGCATAATCCACACAAACACCTCTTCTCCTTTTTCCTGTGCTCCGTACCAGTTAACACAGCTGAGGGTGTGATGAGCGAAGTACCATGCACCAACACACCTGCCTGTGGCAGAAGCATGTGAGGGAAGATGACCAGAGGCTCCCCACAGTGAAAGGAGGGCCAAAGTAGCTTCAGTCTTCAGGGGTCACTCACAGTTTATGTACCTTTTTTACAACCTCAAAAGGAGGCAAACTCAACTACATTTTTTGATAGCCTGTCACTTTTTCTACCTAGACTCATTCCACACAGAAGTTCTCCTATACAACACCAGCCAAGCTACATAACGTAGTACTCCAACACTACAGGGGTTCAGAAGAGGCTTGCAGAGTTAAGTGAAGTCAACAACCAGAGGACTAAATGCTGGCCACCACTTCTGATGTTCCGAGAAAGTAAATATTACCCTGGAAGATAACCACTGACACTTCTCAAGGATTACTCTCATAAATGTAAGCATGATAAGATTTCAAAACACAGCAAGACCTGGTATTCCCATGCCTTTTATAGCAAGGAGAACAACAACCAGGAACAGAAAGAAACACTGCTAATTTTTTTTTTCCCCAAAGTTGTTTCTTTTCACCTATTACAACTGATGGATCTAAGCTCACCAGCAGGGAACAAACAATAAATGCTTTTACAAAAAAAAACCCCAGTTTGTGTTCAATGGTGTAAGTAATTTCTTCTGCGTTCTGAAATTCTTTCTTATTCCTGTGCCTCCATAGATCTTGCACAATTTGATCTTTTTTAGCCTAAAGGGAAATTTGCTTGATATACAGCAAAACCTACCAAAGCATCTTCTGTATTTTTATAGGCAGCTGTATATTTTTTCTTTTCTTGTGGAAAGTCTCACAGATCAGAGATAAACATAAAATTTTTACATCCCTGGCATACTGTACTGCATCTCAGGCTTCTTGGTCTAGTTTCAGAGCAGTAAGTTGTTAACTTCTGGCTTTAGGGACTGCAATTTGGAGGCAGATGGTATGGAAGAAGCAGACAGTAGTAAAGGAGATTGACTGACATTAGAGAAAGAGAATTAATTGACTCTAGGATGCCCTCAATGAGGATAGCATGTCTGCTCCTGCCCAAAGGGTGCTATTGGTTCTGCTGGTGCTAGGACCTCTGGTAATGAAGAAAGATGTCCCCTCCTTCCTACCAGTCCCTGTTTCCATACATAAAAGCATATTCCTTACATGAACTGCCCACTGCTATACTCCCAGGGTTTTGCCAAAGGAGCCCTTTGAAATCTGAATACATGGAAGTGCACTGACAGACATGGCTGGGAAACAAGAATCCCATCTGTAAAAAAGTGCTATAGATTTCAGCATTTAGGTTTGCCCTTAGGCCAGAACTTGTGTCTTCTCTGTCCTGATTTAATTGCATACTCACTTAAGAACCTTCTCAGGAAAAAAAAAAGTTTGATTCAAACACGTTTGTTGGTGGAAACATAAACAGACTAAGATAAAATATCGAGTCAAAACACTACCAACAAGCCCTGACCTTTGGTTCCACTTTAGAAATAATTCTCAAGTTCATTTTCTATGAGCATATTAAATCTACCTAATCAGATCAGGGCAGGTGATACAAAAATCCTAATGGGTCTACGTGGCAGCTCTCAGTGGGAATTTCATTTTTCATTTCACTGGAAAAAACATGAGTCCCCACAGATGCAACAAAAGGTACCTAGATAAAAAGTAAAATAAAACACTTTTAATATTTGTAAGTTTGTAATACTGAAGTTGTCTAGATTTTGAAGTATGGAGTTTCTGTAAAGATAACAATCAATTTTTACTCTGTAGAAGTATAATAAACCCAAAAATTCAAATATTTTATTTACTTCACCTAAAAAACAAGCAACCCCTAAGTAAGATATACATAGGTTTCCCAGATTTATCCCTAATAAATTTTTTAAAGATTTATACAATTTCTACAGAAACATACAGTGTATCAAAATCTGCATAAATCAAATTTATAAAATATGTAGAAATGCATAGTGATATTATCATCAACTTACAAAGCAAGAATATGGGAATTACTTTTTTCCAACCCGACTATAGCAGGAAAAAGTCATTACAGCAACAGCTTCTTATGATCTCATGTTTTTTTAAGGTTTCAGTCTCACATACAGATTCATATTCACATACAGCATCACCTTTCAATGAATTGCACAAAATACTCATTTAAAATGCACACCCGCACAATTTCCGTGCCACCATTCTTTCTCTTATGCATAGTCGTATGATTAAATTAATCTACCCAACACACAAATATGGAGTCAGTTTTCATACACACAAGGAACAAGTACCAGCACACACCCTCATTTTCCTTTTTTTTTCCAGTTTCTCCCTCCTTTATTTCCTATTTTTCATAGCTCTGAAAGCATAGATGAGAAGTGTAAAGAAATTAGGAAAGATCCCAAACTAATGCTCAGTGCAGACAGTCCTATAAAGACCAAACTCTGTCACCAAATACGATACCTAACCCTTATTAAAATCAGTGGAAGCTGCATGCAATGCTATTCTAGATTTCAGGGAAGTATTTAGTCATATTTAATAGAGTGACATGTTATAGGCATAATTCTTCTGAAACCAGTACACTGATGTCAACATTTAACAGTCACAAAATCTGGAATAGGGAAGTGAGGATAAGTCATTTCTCCTCCACCTCTCTTTCATTCAGAGTAAATATTTATACTCCTACAGGAGTTCGCATCAGCTCCTTTCCAGAACATTCTTAGAAACTTCTTCACATTCTATTCTGCACACTACGGCACCAAGCAGTTGTATTTTGTATTTGTAATCCCTCAGGAGAAGTTTCCAATGACAAAAATAAGAGAAAATTAGTATGAATAAATATGGTTTCAGGATTTCCATTTCTCTTTTTAAATCTAAATCTGGCATCCAAACTAGCTGACAGATGTAAAGAATTACGCAGATGTGTTAAGAAGCTGGATATTTTTTTCCTAATTAAAAGTTTTAGTCCACCTCTAAGTGATTTCCATTTAAAATAACAATATAAATGAAGCATTGGATTCTAAGTTTTACATAATTGTGCAGCTTTATTTCTTTTGAATTATTTTTTTGTAAGGCATGGTTTAAACAAGCAAGTTAGTGCTTATAAATTCCTAACTGGAATTGCGAGGGTGCTTACTTCCATCAAAATGTACCACATTAGCACGAACTCAACACTAAGCTCTTCCTTGCACCATACAAAGCAGCCAAAGTAGAGCAGCCAAACTGCAATAAAAATTTGTCTTCAGTAACACAATAATTACATGGGGTGGTACAGTTGGTCTCTACCCCTGGTGACAGCTCAGAAAAATCCATTGTAAAATTTCCAACAAACGCTTTTCTTGTGAGAGAGAGAAATGAAAGAGGCACTAAATGTGTTGAAATTCACCTTCCAAAAAAGCAGCATGACTGTGAGAGAAGGCCACCCTGGCTAATAACCTGTGGCAGTGCTTAGTAGGATGTAAAATTAAATAAAAATATACAACAGGTTGATAATCACCAAGTTCTATGAAAATCTGGTTACTCCAACCTTTTCAAGTGTGTGTAAAAAAACTGCCTTCAGACCCCTGAGTGTAATCCCAAAGAAGACGACAATGCTTTTAACTATGTTCCTATGAAACATAGCTAACAGCACATTAATTTACCAATATCTTAAAACAAAAAGATGTAAACATCTACAGAGTTTAAGGTAAAGCAGTTTTGTAAACATTAACTGCGGATGATAATGTTATTGTAATAATCACAGTTCCTCTATGTTCTTCATCCAAGCCAGGAGGCTCGCAGCTGTACAAAGTTAATAATTGCAGCAGTTTTCAGGCTATTTTCAGTCCTGTACAAATTAATGTGTCAGTAGGTAGGTTTTGTCTGTCTACACACTGAGAATGTTGTTAATTTCCCATTTCTGCGTTGCTTTATTGGAGTCACACTCTGAAATGAAAACTTGATGGAGGACTTCGGAGCGATCCAAGCACTTCCCTGATGGAATGTGAGTAAATCTGTGCAGATTCTGGAAAACAAAATCATCAGGAACATGTGTGGGTTTTTGTTGTTGTTGGTTTTTTTTGTTTGTTTGTTTGGGGTTTTTTTTGTGTTTGTTTTTTTTTTTTTTTTTTACATTTTCTTCACAACTGCAATATAGCTATTTACAAAACCAGGTTTCAGGGTCCCAGAAGAGATCAGTTTCATACTCATTTTACTATTTGTTAAACCTAGACTTTCAAAGCCTTCGTATTATGAAATGTTTGATATGTGTAGGTCCACTTGAGATGTCCCCCATTTCTCTTAGGCAATAAACTGCTAAGAAAATGAGCAAAACTGTGTCTAAAATGCTTCCAGCCTTTTCATCCATCCTGTAACAAGACCAAAAGATTAACCCTCGAAGACAGCTCTATGAGAACTGACTTCACTGGGCAGATACTCCTTTGGTTAGCCTTGCCATAGAGCAATTGCACAACTCCAATGTTAAGCACACCGGAGAAAAAAAAAAAAAAAGCAGTAACTTTGCTCACTGTTTGGCCGGTAGAAGGAACAGAAGTGGGTATGAGAGCAAGTTTGGCCCCCGGAGCAACAGGAGGCTGCTTAAGAAACTGCAGACCTATTGTGCCTAGCACATTCAGGCTGAGACTCGCACGTTTCGCTCCTTCCACTACCCCCCGTGCTGCCACGCCAGAGTCTCACACATTTGCAAAGTGCCCTGTGGCTCCTCTCCCTCTTGCTGACTGCCTGCGCCAGCAGCAGCCCTGACTCGCTGATCGGCTGCACCCGGCATAGAGAGCAATGGAGCAGAAGCAAACCTGTGGCACTGCGGCCAGGCTGCTGCTCCACAGCCATGCACCCAGCTCCCCCCACCATGGGGACCCTCTCCATCACCCTGTCACTCCCACACACGTGTTCATGTCCAAATGTTGGTTCAGCTTGATACCTGCTCCTGCCATGTGGTCAGACATGGAGGTCCTCTACCTGGAGAGGTAAACAGATGTCTGAACAAAAGCAATAGCCAGACCCCCGCCAGCTCTGTTCTGGAGGTCTGCTTATGGGCACCGAAGCCCTGCTAGTGCTCAACACTCGAGCAGCACAGATGTTAAGCTCACCAAACTGGCACACAAACGTTCATTCCAGAAACAACCAACCGACCAACTAGATAAAATCTCCCGGCAGCTTTCATTTACACGAGGCCACAACATTCCTCAGCAGTTCATAAGCATTTCATTCCTTACACACTCCTCATTAGAAGAAACGGTCATACCCTCTGCACTGCACAGCAGAGTGTGCCAAGTATCTACTATTTGCTTGGTTACACACCCTTGGTGGTCCTTTTGCTCTCACTCCTCCTTTTTTTTTTTTTTTTTTTTCTTCTGGAAGCCAGTCAGTGTTGTTCTACAGCCCAGACTGTGCCTACTGGTCTTCCTTATAAGTTGCTGTAATAAGCAAACAATTACACAACCTGGTAACACTGTGGAGGAAATTGATCGTCTTGCATAAAAGAAATGCTCAGAGAAGAGCCAAGGAACATGCTGGGACACACTAGAATGGCTGGAGAGTTAACAAGTGCTATATATTATTCCAATATTAAAGCAGAAGTCAGCAGGCACCAAAACATTGCTTATTGATTTTTAAATTTCACGTTTAAAGAATTTTGACTGTTTATATAGCACAAGAAAGCCAGGTGGAAATGGCATTATGGTGCTTGATATTTCCTAGCTCTATGCAAATACCAGAAAAAATGGAGTGGCTTCAAGGGTAGCAAACAGATTTCGCTGCACTCAATAGTGCCTACAGCCTTCACACAAACACAATCCGGATAGCCAGCTAATTAACTAATAAATATGCAATATGCTATATAGACTGAAGAAAAATCGACACAGAATAGTTTCTCAGACGCAGAACCAAGTTATGTGTGGCTACATACAAAGATAACATCACCCTTGGACTATTCAGTCTCATTTTTTTAAGAGAAACAGAAACATAGCCTTAGACATTTTTTAAAGTAACACTTCTGAAACTAGTGTTAATAGAGGACTTACAGATGTAGTGACTAAATAGACTGTAGCAACTCTCGCATGTATATCATCCAACATTCCACGTCTTTATTAAAAATTCATCGATTTTGCAATAGCATTATAATGGCGCCGCACCCAGAATTCACAACAGAGCATGTTATTAGAGAATGGCTAATGAACAGGAAAAGGAAATGCTGAAGAAGGCAAAGATAACACAAAAAGGCAAAGAGTAACGCTATGTTTACCTGTTCCTATGTAGGCTTAAAAAGATCTTCTGTCTTTAAACACAGCAACACTTTGATTCAGACCTCCCAAAATTAGATCTAATATTGACCCTAGCTCCTAAATGCACCCCAGAATTTAAGTAATCTTCCCACAGCATGCCTTAGATAAAGAAACTTTCTTGATAGAAAGCATACAAGCAGAGAGGGTGATGGCACTAAAAGCTTTTAGAAACTCTGTCACCAGTAGTGGACAACCTCTTTGCTTCCTCCAAGACAAGTGCTAACTCCTAACATACCTGTGGCAGCACATGGAGCCTCATGAAATTTTCCTTACAGAAGATAGCACCTAGAACCACTAGCAAAAGCATCTTTCTCTAGAGGAAGTTTTCCTGGCAAGTATGGATTTCCGAGAATGTGCAATTAACAATTTGCTCTACTTGGTTCAGTTAACTTTGTTGCAGATCTTTACTTTCAGATATACATAAAATAAAAGAAAAGGTTCAAAAAACCAGGATGCAAATCATAATTTCTTTTCTGCTACCTATCTGTTACATACCTTAAAGTATTGCCAATCCTTGTATTCATTCTGATTACAGTGTGTAATCATAACCTTGGATCCATCTGGTCCTTTAGTTAAGCACTGATCGTACTGCATGAGTTGATTAGCTTCATTGATTCGGAAAAGCTGACAAAAAAAAAAGCCACCTTTTTAACAGTTGACTCAAAATAACGAGTATTTTAGAGACACGGAATTGCATCATTCAAAACATTCCCTGATGTTACTACACCTGTCTTTCAGGAGGGTATTTTACATGATGTGACACTTTTACTGTCATGACACAATTTCATGGATAACTTTCCTGTAGGATTTAGAAGGCTAAGAAACTTACCTAGCAAGACAAAAATGATACAAATAAAGGGACTCCTATTTGGGAGACTTCTGAAAGTGTTTGATGAAGAGCCCTTGTATGATTTGATGGCCAAACAATCCACTATCTTTCTAAAGGCCTGGTAGCAAGTCCTCAGTCCTGGACAGTAATTTCATGTGAATACAGTAAAACTTTGGCATTTTACGCATGGAGGAAATCAAACCAATGCATCCAGATACAAAAAGATTATCCTGTCTACTTCTTATGAAATAATCGTTATGGGGTTTTTGGGGGTAACACATACAGAAAAAGTAGTTTAGGGAACTTTTTCATTAAATATCAAAACAAAAGAGACATTTCCAGGGCCTACTAAGAGCTAATCCAAATATGATTACTGAAAGCATCATCCTGCACGTGATTTCATTACTGCTGTGACAAAACTTGCCTGGTTTCAGACAACTTGTCTGTATCAGCATAAATAAGGACTTTAAATTCTAAAAGGTTTTTCAACCAAAAAAGGAAAACAGCATGTTTGTGTGGTAGTGTGGGTAGGTCTGTCAAGATATAGGTCAAACACAAAAGCAGCTTGCATTGCAACCATCTATTAGTAGTTCTGTTTTGCCAATTAATTTACAAATGAAGCAGAGAAAAATTTGTATTCAATTTCTTGTCTCCTGTGGTGGAAGATGAGTTACTGCACAAAAGTGGTTTATACTTCCATTAGAGCAGAACAACTTTGTGAAATAATTGAGCGAAAGTGAGTAAGGGGGTTGTTTCCTGAAGGATTAATTACTAAGTGAAGATAAATGATCAATCAGCAGCAATGCTAAGAGCTGCAGATATTCTAATGTAGTGATACCATTGCTTTAAAACAGAGTTCTTACTTCCTCATGTACCTGATTCGCTGAAGAAGAGATTATGAACTTGCCGTCAATTTTGTACTGTTTGTGTTTGAAATGGTATTTTCAGATTCCTGTATTTTAGCAATGTCAGAATGCTTATGGAAAATCCCTAACTCCCATCCTTGCAGCTGGCACCTAAGTGACTTTATGTAGAGGCTTAACAGAAAACCGTCCTGTTACCATCCACAGCAAGTGATTCTCCTTTAGGCTTCCCTCCAAGCTCCTCACCTGATTTCCTCCCATTCTGTGGCATGGCCCAAGCTCAACGAAGCCACCGTTGGTATGCCCCATGCTATCAATGCAGTAAGCAGTTTCAAAGCCTCTAATCTGGAAAAGAGGTTTTGTACTTTAAGTTAGGCTCAACGGAAAATTAGCGCGAAGGAGTTCAGAAAATTCCCACTAACCTTTCAAACCAGAAACAGAAATCTGACAGAGAGATATATGACAAAACTGTATATGAAATTTAAAAACTAATGTTAACTGTTCTGGAGATGGAGCTTCAAGCTGCCCATGCTAATTTGCAGGCTCTTACGTGAGATAGAGTGCACTGATAAAGCTAGAGTTGCCAAGCTCAGTTCCAAATTAACAACACTGAAATGTAGGACTTTCAAGTACTTTAATTTATTCAATTTCCTATCAAAGCATGTTCAGTCTCCCAGGTCTTCATAAACAAAGCAGGAGTTCAGTGAAGTTGCTCTCATCTTGTGGATGAGACAAACAAGATGCAGAAAAGTTATGCACGGCAGTTATTAAATGGAGCCAGGCACAACCCACTGGCCCAGCTGCTCAGATGGACCTTCTGCAGCAGCAATTATATGGTGAAAAAAAGAAAAAAAAGAGAGATAAAATTGATGAGGGGCAGGCACAGGGATAAAGAACAAAAGTCCTGTCAGAAAGCATGCCTGAACTGCTGATTATCCCACTCCCTTCTCAGAAGGGCCAGCAAACAGCTTTACAAAGACTTTATGACACAAATAACATTCTTTCCAGACCTATTTTCTTTGCCAGAGCCTCTTTCTTCTTTTGTGACAGTAGAAGAAAGTCTGGAGGACTAAGCTTAGACCTGACTTCCAGAGAAAGTGTTAGGGAAGATGAATCCCACTCCCGACAGTTTGGAAATGCAATTAGCATGGTGTTACAAATGCGGTGGGGAAAATTTCTCAGATGCAGGATAACTAGCAGCCAGTGAAGAAAGAGTTGAAGAAAACTTCAGAGAAGTCTCTGAACTTCCAACTTTCCTGTTGCTTCACCAGAGCCACTCACTTTTATCAGGGATGATTTCCCACAAGGTGGCCATTACTATTTTATTCTCTTCAGATACTTTCACCTCAGTGAACAGTAATACATAATGTGCCTTCCTAACCCTTTATGTGGATTCAAAAGGAGGTCTAAGGCTAAGGTAGTAACTGATGCTTTGTGCTAGCTTTCAGGTAAGAAATAAAGGTGGCATTGTTCACCTGGTCCCTCAGATAAAAGACTATGCGTACCCCCTTCCACCATGCATACGCTCTGTATTACTAATTCCTCAGAGAACTTAGAGACGACACTTTCTTGGCCATACGAAACAGCATAGATCTGTACTTTCTAATGCTCTTTTGAAGTTACAAAAACCGGTCCACCATATCTTGGAAAGGACTGTTAAATTTGGTGGGAAACAGGAGTCCTCCTCTGCTAGTGAGATGACTTTTCTGATTTTGCCTCCACAATTTACGAAAGTGAAATTAACAGGAGACAAAAGGAAAGGCTGGAACCAACTGAAAAGGGCAAAAAAAAAAAAAATCTGAAAGCAGCCAGGAGACCTGCAGTAAGAGCTCCTTAAGGTGTAGGCTAAATGCCAGAATGAAATGGGTATGGTTCAGTGAGGTGTCCTGCGCTCTCTTGGCGACATGCTGTCTCACACAAAAATGCCAAATTTGTAAACACATTCTTAATTTAGCAAAGTCATATACAGTAATGCTGGAAATGACCGTTAAGGAATCTCATAAAATTATTACATGCAGATAAGGGATTTTCTGAGGCTGTATGTGTATGAGTACATCCCAGGCTAGCAAATGCAGGCAGAATGTATTCCACCTGGATTTCATAATCTATTCTCTAGGCCTTCACAGAAAAAGATTTTCACCTATTAATCTTCACCAATACTCCTAAACACATTTTTTCTTTTTAAAAACCTAAATTCCAATTAAGGAAAAAGAGCTTTAGACAAAACTGAAGACAGGGCTAGAGATAAAATCACCCTTCAAGGACCTATCGAGCTAATTGAAAAAAATTGCAGCTCTTAAAAGTATACATACAATTTTTTCCCTAGGGTTATATCTCTATAGCTGTCTGGCTAGTATCACATACCTTAGTATGGCAGTAATCAGAAAGCCTGCTCTTAGATTGCTGTCAAGTAACAATCACTTCCTTTTGAATTCCCAATTAAAAAAAAAGCAGCTCCTAAAATAAACAGAGGTTATGTGCTGTACTTACCTCTCCCCAGTCCACGTTTTTAGGTGGTAAGGGATAATATGAAGTTATATCGTATGCTATTTCTTCCATAAACCACTTAAAACTTTTGCAGTTGTGATCTTCACGGAATTTTTTCAGCTCAGATATATCTCCATAGGGTAGTGCTTTTGTCTCCGGCCGACTGGCATAGAAGTAATCTTTGTATTCATCCCACCACACTTCTACAACTCTGACATAGTTCTGTGAAAAACAACGACATTGCTGCGACCTCAAAGCACACACAACAGTCCAGATGCAACTGCATATTAATTCCAGAAATTTAAGGACTTATCCTCTTAAAAGGCTGCATGAAATTATTATATCCTCTTAAAAGAACAGCATGAAATTATTATATAGCACTAACAATTTGTCACCTTCAGGAGATTATACAACACACGTGCATACTATTTTCAAATGACAGTTTAGGACTGAAGCCAGCAAAATAAACTGGTTTGCTTAACCAGAGTGCGAAATCTTTTTCGAAGTTCAGAGAATGCTTATTTGAAAACAAAGAGTTTTCACTTATGAGTGCAATAAATGTTGCAAGGACTTGCTGTATGCCACAACTGCAATTTAGAGTTTCTGTTCACCTTCCACAGTCTTAATACAGAGAATGATAGGCATTAATCCACTGAGGGTGAAAAAATTAGTCTTAAATGGGTCAGCTATGACACACCAAGGAGATTTCATCTTCTTAAGTATAGTTTATTGCTGCTTAGAGAAGGGTTAAAAATGGATAGCTCGCCTTGTGAACAAACCTCTCCCTCTCACCTTTCCTCTCAGTCTCTTTGATGGCTCCGATATCTGTATTACCTATACACGTTCTAGATGCACACTTCACTTTGTACAGTTCTTCTAGCATTAATGACTTGGTATTAAACCAGTCTTAATAGATCTGACTAAAGGCACAAATTATTGTTTTACTTTCATCCACATCCAGCATAAATTGAACAAAGCTATAGAAAAGCACATTTACTATGGGGATAGGATGCCTGAAGAGGGAGAAAGCTATTCCTGCATCCTGCCTTGTACAAAGAAGGAACTTCAATAATTAAGAACACTCAGGAGTGCTTTGTTGTATTCAGTAAGCAGACAAGCAGACTCATGTAAGGTGTTTAGATATGCAGTAAATACTTTTGATCAGCTTTTCAGAAGAGCGAAATGGTTTTTATAATTTCAGACAAGGCAAACATCTTGCCTGCACTGAGCAATGGAGCTATCATTCGCTATTGTGATGGGTTTGTGTGGCAAGGTTTTGGTAGTGGGGGGATTACAGGGGTGGCTTCTGTACGAAGCTGCTAGAAGTTTCCCCTATGTCCGATACAGCCAATGTCAGCCGGCTCCAAGACGGACCCACCACTGGCCAAGGCTGAGCCCATCAGCGATGGTGGACGCACCTCTGTGATAACGTGTTTAAGAAAGGGAAAAAAGTTGCTACGCAACAGCAGCCAGAGAGAGGAGTGAGAATATGTGAGAGCAACAACTCTGCAGACACCAAGGTCAATGAAGAAGGAGGGGGAGGAGGTGCTCCAGGTGCTGGAGCAGAGATTCCCCTGCAACCTGTGGTGAAGAACATGGCAATGCAAGTTGTCTGCCTGGGGCCCATGGAGGTCCATGGTGGAGCAGATACCCCCCACCATAGTAGGTGGATGCCTGAAGGAAGCTGTGACCCCATGGGAAGCCTGCACCAAAGCAGGCTCCTGGCAGGACCTGTGGCCTGTGGAGAGAGAGAAGCCCACGCTGGAGCAGGTTTGCTGCTAGAGACCCCGTGAAGGGGGCTCACGCTGGAGCAGTCGGTTCCTGAAGGACTGTACACCATGAAGGAGACCCACGCTGGAACAGTTCATGAAGAAGTGCAGCCTGTGGGAACAACTCACGCTGGAGAAGTCATGGAGGACTGTCTCCCGTGACAGGGACCCCACACTGGAGCAGCGCAAGTGTGTGAGGCGTCCTGCCCCTGAGGAGGAAGGAGTGGCAGAAACAACATGTAATGAACTGACCACAACCCCCATTCCCTGTCCCCCGGCGCCACTCGGGGGCGAGGAGGAAGAGAAATTGGGAATAACTGTAAGCCCAGGAAAGAAGGGAGGGGTGGGGGGAAGGTGTTTTAAGATTTGGTTTTATTTCTCATTACTCCTCTCTGAGTTAATTGGTAATAAATTACATTTTTTCCAAAGTCAAGTCTGTTTTGCCTGTAATGGTAAATGATGAGTGACCTCCCCATCCTTATCTTGACATATAAGCCTGTTGTTATATTTTTCCTCCCCTGTCCAGTTGAGGAGGGGCAGTGACAGAGCGGCTTTGGTGGGCACCTGGCATTCAGCCAGGGTCAAATCACCACAGCTATCCTGTCTCCCATTGCTCTGTCTCTACTCCCAGCTATGCCCATTTCCCCCTATCCACTCTTCTACTGGTCCTAGTGCTTCTTTGATCAAAATGTTAAATTAATTCACATTAGTAATAGAGACTTTTTTTTTGGGGGGTGCCAAGTTAGTTTTCTACCATTAAGCTAGGCTGGGACACCCCCTCTTCAACAGAACCAACTGCTAGCTTGGTGCAAGCCATACTCTGTAACCCTATCAGTAGTCATCATAACAGGTAATGTCTAGGAAGACGGCTCTGGGATTGGAATTTACAAAGCACTGGGTCTTTGGGAATGGGGTTTACCAATGCCAAAATACTGCACAAGAGAAAGCTTAAACTAGGCAACAGGAAACCTTACAGGAGGGTTGTCTCTCCTTCTGCTGGTAGGTACAAACTTATCAGTTTTCTTGATTCAAATTATCTCTTCAGATATAGACAGCTGGCTCACTCTTTTCTTGAGGATGTCTACTTTTAATGTGACGGCTTGAGCAACACTTCTGAACCTGCAAGGTACCTGAGGAGTAATTGACCTTCACGATGAGAGGCAGAGCATGCCATTTTCCCAGGTGTCACTCCCTGCTTCTTAATTAACAAATGCAGCCACAAAGGTCTGAGAGATGCTAGATTACAGCATTCGCTAACTCAGCCTAGGATCACATCCTAGCAATCCAAAGGGGGATTTCAAACCCATGATCATCATCTCCAGGAGCGTGCTGTAGTTACTCAAGTTGTTTGTACGTCAGTTGGGCACAGCGTAACAAAGGCTTGGGGTGCTGAGAGTAAGTAATAGGAAGTGTGATTTGTACCTCAGATGGGGAGGGGTGGAGCAAGAAGATGGGTTCCAGAAATCTCTACTCTTAATAACAGTGGGATTGGCACAAAGGCTTCCCTCCCGTGGGGATGACCATCTTAGCTTCAGACACTAAATAGCTTTGGATGAAGTGCTCTCTACGTTGCTACTAGTAATTTAAATAGACTGATCTAAACCTGTTGTTATCTAACATTAAAAAACACCTTCAAGGTTGCAGCAAAACAGTACCTTTAATGTAGGAGAAGACCCAACGTACACAGGAGGTGGATTTCCTTGCCAACCCTGGAGACGATAGATGTGTCCAACACGAGAACAGGGAACAAACAGCAGTTTTCCTCCACACTGCCAGATCTACAAGTTAAAGCAAAGGTATTATTAATATATATGCACAGGAGTTTAAGACAGATAATAAATTATGGAAGAAATGTAAACTATTTTTCTTACTATACCAACTGTGTGATATATTTAAATATTTTTGCTTCAGATGTAAGCATAAACATAACGGTTCTCTGAAATGAAAGTCTGTATCAAGTACATCTTCAACTCAGCCATGAAATCACTCAACTTTTTAAAAAGCTTTTAAAAAGTTTGCCATCACATTTCATTGCTATGAATAACAGTACTGAACTACAACAGTAATGAGTGAGTGCACAACATCTAGAACTAGGTAATTTTTATTATGACAGAATTAATAATATTTTTATTTTATTAAAGCAATTCACATACCATCACTAAGATGGGTTTTGGTTAGATGCCCATCACATTTAAATTTTCCTAATAAAGACTAGCAGGAGATAAGGATGTCTTAGGTAAGCACTGTTCCAAGTACAAACAGATTTTTCTTTAACTATAATAGCTGAAAATAAAAAATGGGTAAAACATATTACCATTCTGAAATTCTCTTCCTCCCACATGTCCTTGCATAATCCATTTATGGGGAAAAGAAAACATACCTAAATCTGAATTTTGTTGCTCATAGTTTTGACAAGTTTGAAATGTAGCATCAAATCCAAATTCAAACTAACTTAGGGGATGTTCCAAATTAGTCTGAATTCCATATTAAAAAATATGACTTAACAGTATTAGGAAAGATGGGCAGAATAGTTTACTTCCTTCATTGCATCACCATATTAATTTTCTTAAGTTTCATCAAAAAAACCCCTCAGATATACAAGCCCATGACATTTGCTATCCAGAAGTCAGCAGGCAAGACTGATATATGTTATTTAGTAGTTCTGAAGATTGGTTGTGACCCACATGAAACCAATTTGGAGGTCTCTACATGATCAGCATGTCAATTACAGAAATACTGTATGTAATTTCAATCATGATTTACTCTAAGCAAGATGAAGAATAAGAAGGATAAAGACCCTCTATGTGTAACATCCTCCATAACTACCTTTTGCATATGGATTTACAGCTGAGCAACTGCACTCAGAGCTTTCCTCAAAATCATGAAGAGCAAGAGTACCTGGGGGACCTCTGAAGGCACTTTTAGTAAAATTCAGCTATGATTTCACAGGTCACT